TGGTCACAGCTGGCACCTAGGGGATCCTCCCTGAATGTGTATTGCATTGAACAAACGGAGGACACAGCAGGTGTCTCAGGACTCTCAACGTGACATTGTTTGTCGTATAAAACCTTTAGAGCAACCAAAATAGTCCACCGTGGGTGGCTGGAGGACTCGTGGTTGACCCACACAGTGGAACACTGCCCAGACGTAAACGTGACACATGAACTTGCTATCACGGAAATGGGAAGCTTCCTACGTGTGGTGTTCTGCTTACCAAAATCGTGCATGCTGAGTTACACTTGTACCCCCCAAAAAGAGACTGCACATGCAGAGCTGTTTATTCTGACATGCACGAAACGTGTTGGGAACGATGTCCAATAACACTGGCTGCTTCTAAGGGGGGACCTGACAGCTGAGAGCCCAGGAAGAATAACTCATCAATGAACTTGATTTCAGGTATTTTCATTTTTGAACCACATGGAAATTTACTGTTAAAAAGAAAAAGAAATGCCACAGTATATTTTAGATCTTCCCATATCCATACATAGAGATTCATTTGTTATTTTTATATCTGTACAGTGTCCCATTGTGCAGATTGACCATAATTTATTCACCCACCCACTGTCGACTATTCAGGTTGCTCTCAAGTTTTTATATGACAGTGTCACAATGAAAAGCTCCCTTATCTTAATGCATTTCAGACACACCTGAGTGTAAAATTTCCCTGAAGAAAATCCCATTGTAGCATTGCTCATAATAAAAAAAAAGAAGGAAGCAATTCATATGTAAAATAATAAGATGTTGGATAAATAAAAATTTTACCTGTCAGGAATGGTGGTGTACCCCGATAATCCCAGAGACTTGGGAGGGTGAAGCAAGAATGCAGCAATAAATGTCACAGCACAGGAATATGCCAATGAGTATAATGGCCAAGACAGAGACTAACAATGTTTTCCACCAGGAAGTACCAAGAACCAGAAGCTAAGATATTGTCTCCACGACAAAGTTGCTGAGGACATGGCTTCTATCTAAGCATGTAAATCTTTAAGGATATTTGTCACCTTGCCAGAAATGTCAGGGATGTAAACACAACAACTAACATTTAGGTTTACAGTTCGAGGCCAGCCTCAGCAACTTAGCAAAGCCATAAGCAACTTAGCAAGACCCTGTCTCAAAATTTAAAAAGTTTAAAAAAGGGCTGGGGGTGTAGCTTAGTGGTAGAATACCCCTGTGTCAAAAACAAAATAAAACAAAAACCTGTTCTAAATTGTTCTGATTTCCTTAATTTCTGATGCAGACTGATAGGTTTTTCCCTCCTGAGTAAAAGCCTTGCCTGTGACCTTGTTATCTCATGTTGTAATACCCCATGCTTCCTATCATTTAAGTTTTCCTGTTCCAGACCATCTTCACGTTCCATCTTCTTCCCTTTGGTTTGGATGTGAGGTGGTAATCTCATTTATTCTATTGGAGGAAGTATTAAGAGTAACAACCACCTGAGACCAAAGAGGTTGCTGCTTCTCACTCTTGAGATGGCCAATGCTCCCTGAATGTGTCTACTTTCCTAATTAAGTCTCTGACTATGCCTTGGGTGAGGGGGCAAGTGAATATTCAAATAATCGAGTCAGTGAGCTTGAACTTGTTGTGTATATTTCTGCACAGCCCTTGATTGATTAAAGCATTAGTACTATATGCTTTTATTCAGGCCTTACTAGGTAATTGGCCTTAAGGAGAAATTTATACTGTCTCACTAGGGTTAAAATAGCTTTCTCTTCTCTTCTAATTCTTTAGTTCAGAATTAGCTTTTTTTTTTTAAATATCATGAGTTCTCTTGTTCCCTTAAACACGTTCTGGAAAATGACTTCATTTTGCTATAACCTGTGGGAAATGGAGTTTGTGGGGCTTTTTCTTTTCTAAAATCCAGCAGTCAGTGAAATTATTTGATACATGAACTGGACAGAACACTTTTCTGTGCTTAAATTTGCTTCCCAGTGAAGGGGAGAAAATGTAATCCTCCCCCACCCCCACACACCCATGCTCATAGTGTGTAGTTGGGGCACACCCCTGTGACAAATGACAGCTACCCGGAGAAGCAAGTTTAGAACCCGTGCAGCTCCATGACTTGGGAGGAAGTAGCTCAAGGTTCAGGCCTAGGTGTCTGCCTCATCTAGCACACCCCTTAAAGAGCAGTGAAATTCAGAGATGTGCCATGGGCAGGGCAGTACGTGGGAGACACCTAGGGAGTAAAGTCCACCCTCGGATCCCGTGCACTTTGAGCTGGTAAGGGGGTGAAACAGAATTCTTATCCACATCTTTTTTTGGTGGGGGCAGGTACCAGGGACTGAACCACTTAATCACTGAGCTACATCCCAGCCCTTTTTATTTTTTATTTTGAGACAAGGTCTTACTAAGTTGCTGAAGCTGCCCATGAACTTGTGATCCTCCTGCCTCAGCCTACAGAGTCTCCGGGGTTATATGCATGCCCCACTACATCCTCTCTTTAGGCAGAAAAAGGAGGGGGAAGATAGAAAGACCAGTTCTTTTTGTAAATCTCTGTCCTGTTTCTAGGCACACCGGCTGAGAGGGGAGGGGAGGGTGCAGAGAGTTCCCTGTGCCTTGGTTGTCTTCAGCCCAACAATTCTTCATGTCTTTGGAAGGCACATTTTGGATCCTTCACCAAGAAATAAGGTGGACAGGAGAGTGAGCCCTTAGGTATGCAAGACATCGTAATTGCATTTACATATGATATGTAATTATCATATATTATACATAATTATATGTATAAATAACATGTATTTATGGTTGGGCATGAAGCTCAGTGACAGAGCACTTGCCAACATGCATGAGATCCTTGGTTTGTCCCCAGTACCACAAAAAGAAAATATAAGTTATTTATTAATACTTTCATAGATAATTTGCCCTTCCTCCACAGTACTCTGGAATTATAACTAAAAAAAAAAAAAAGTCAGCAAGTCAGCAAGGATTTTACCTTTCCATGGAAAAACAAGAAAAAAAAATAAGAGAACGTGGCAGATTTTTTAAAAGATATGTGTATTCAATTTACAGAATTTATCCTATATCCGAATGGATCTTCAAGTTGTTAAGATAGCTATTAAGATAATTTTCATTTATGAAATGTGGATGATCATTATTTTTAGTATCATTTTATTGATTTGTAAAATTCATTTCTTTAATTGATGAAAGATAAATCCAGTGGCTAATCATGTAGACTTTGAAATTACTCAAGTCTGAAAGTCCTATGATACCTGTATCATACAGTATCTGCACTCATCCATTTTCCATATTGGAAATCCCAATGAAGTATTATCTTGGCCTGCTTAGCTTGCCATAATAAGATATAGCAGACTGGCCAGGAGAAGTATTCCATAATCCCAGCGACTCATGACGCTAAGGCAAGGGGATCCTAAGTTGGAAACCAGCCTGGGAAACTTAGCAAGACCCTGTCTCAAAGTGACATAAAAAGGACTGGCCACATAGCTGTGTGGTAGAGTGCTTGCCTAGCATACGTTCAATCCTCAGTACCCGCCCCCCCCCCAGACTGGGTGATTTGACAACAGAAATTTATTTCTCTACCATTCTGGAGGCAGAAAGTCTGAGAGTAGGGTGCCAGAAGTGTTGGGTTGGGGAAAGGATTATCCCAGCTCACAGATGGCTACCTCACCTTTTGTCCTCAATTGGTAGAAACACGCAGGTTCTCTGTTGCATGTTCTCATAAGGGTGCCAATACCATCATGTCAGCCCCACCCTCGTGAATGGACTAAAACTAATGACTGTCTGAAGTCCCATCGCCAAATGCTGCCACGTTTGAGGTCATGGCCTCAGCATGTGAATCTGGGGGTAATACAAGCATTTAGTTTGCAACATGTGTTGTTATGGGGTTAGGATGAAGTGAGGCCCAGGATCCTAGAAGATTCAGTTCTTTCAGGGGTTAAACTACTCCTAGGTTTGGGCAAATGCCCGGTCACTAACTAAGACTTTGAAGTCTGGAACCTCAGGGGAAATCTCTGGAAACTAAGCAATTGGCTCACAAGAACACACCCAGGGAGGCTGACTTGAACTACCTGCGACAATCTCATCATCGAACTCCAGGCCATGAGCAGAGAAGGGCTTTTACATGTCAAGTGGATGAAAATGGATACTCAAAAGAATATTTTGCAACATCTAAAGATGATATAAAATTCAAGTCTCAGTGTCCCCAGGTGAGATTTATTGGAACACAGCCACTCACGTTCCTCCACATGTGGTCAGTGTTGCCCACCTGCTCCAGCGGCAGAGTTGAGACTAAAATACTTACTGTTTGGCCTTTACAGGAAAAAGTTTGCCAGGCCCTAATCTACCAACAAAGCTGGCCAATGACTTCTTTTACCTATTCCTAAGTCCAAATCCTAGCTAAAAATGTATTTTAAAAGGTGCAGCGCCGCATCCATCAACATAGAAGAAATGGAGCCAGAGACAGACCTGTATAAAAACTTGCAGAAATTGGTTTATGGGTTGTCCACTTCAAGTTTTCTAATGCCTGGGGGCTGGGGTTGAGGCTCAGAGGTAGAGCGCTCGCCTAGCACATGCAAGGCCCTGGGTTTGATCCTCAGCACCACATAAAAATAAATAAGTGAAATAAAGGTATTGTGTCCAACTACAACTAAAGAAAAAAAAAAGTTTTCCAATGTTTGACTGTTCCAGGGAAAAACTGAGAAACCTCAGTAAGAGAACCTCAGTAAGAGAACCTCAGTAAGCTGCTCATGTTTACAACCCTTGGGACGTTCAGCCTTTATCAGATATGATCTGAGGTCCTAGAATTGGGCCAATCTAGATCAAGAATCACCTTAAGCCTCCTCCTTGATTGACACTTATCCCTCCCATCAAAAGAGAAGGGAGGACAGGAGCTAGCTTGGTGCCTTTTCTCGAATTCAGCACTTTGCAGTGAACATTGGTGACACTCTTCTTATCAGGCCACTTCCCTTATGATGGTTTTTGTTTTGTCCCCCTTCCACCCAAAGGTGATTTTAAAGGATGTGGACTCGCTTCTCTATGTGGACACTGACGTCCTCTTTCTGAGACCTGTCGATGACATCTGGAAGCTTCTGCGGCAGTTCAACTCCACCCAGCTGGCAGCCATGGCCCCAGAGCATGAAATCCCCAAGATCGGCTGGTATAGCCGCTTTGCTCGCCACCCTTTCTATGGCTCTGCGGGAATTAATTCAGGGGTCATGCTGATGAATCTAACTCGGATAAGAAGTACCCAGTTCAAGGTAAGAGTGCTTTGGAATTTCTTTTACAGATTGGGAGTTGTCAATCGTGACATGCCTGGGTCGTCCATGCGCTGATTCAGGGAATGTGGCAGGTGGCCTGCAGGTACGGATGGACGATGGACGTCCCTAGAGGAAAGGGTTTAATCTGGAAAGTTATAGGGTATTTGTTTATTTGGGGAAAGCCCAGATGGCTATGGAATGTGTCGCTTTTACAGTTCCCGCCCAGGGATAAGCTGTGGCACTTCTGAACTCTGCATATCCAAGGCTTCCAAAGCCATGCAAAAAAATTTGGGGATCACTCTAGCCACATGTTGACAGGAGTATGCAGAGATAGTGATGCAGGGGTGTTTGTGGTCTCATATTTTATCCTAGGAGAGAACTGGAAACCACCTAAATAAATCAGAAAAAAGAACCAGTAAAAACAATTATCCTCAGATTAAAAAGAAAGTTAATTATGGCTGGCGTAGAGCTCAGCGGTGGTGGTAGGGCCCTGGCCTAGACTGCACAAGGCTCTGTGACTGGTCCCCAGCCTTGAAAAACATTTAAAAAGGATAGGTTAGTGTATAAGTGAGACAAATAAGATCTCTAAAAAGAACCAAGTGAGAAAAACCTACATGTAGCAAGTGTATCATGGCACTGTAGTGTGCTCATGTTGATGGCTTAGAAGTTTCCAGAACACCTAGACTGTTAACTGTTCATTGTGGATGCTTCTGGGGAAACTGGGAATGAGATTTGGAGGAGGAGAGTGAAAGAAATATTCTTACTTTTTGAATTTTTATCTCTATGTACTAACTAAATATATAATATGTCACATTTAAGAGTCAATAATCGTTTAAGATACTACAATTTTGCTATCTGTGTTTTGCTTCTGTACTTCAGAGATGAGAAATAAGCCTAAGAAATAGGTTCAGTGTCAGGCATGGGTTTCAGAATTAGAAGCGGCAGGTCCGCCGTCCAGCTCCAGGTCAGTCGGCATCCGTGTCTACCAGGAAGCCCACACCCTGCAGCCCTGATTTTGCTTTGTCCCAGGCCTGAGGCTAGCAGCAGCCCTCTGTGCTCTGTCCTGAGAGGGAAAGAAAAGCAGTCCCTCCCCTGCTTCTCAGTGGACACGGTCCCCTGGCTCCGCCTCAGCTGCTCTGATGGTGTCCTCTCTTCCAGAACAGCATGACTCCGACAGGCCTGGCTTGGGAGGACATGCTGTACCCGCTGTACCAGGCATACAGGAACGCCATCACGTGGGGGGACCAGGACTTGTTAAATATCATCTTTTACTTCAACCCAGGTAGGTCCTCGTTCACAAAGGTCGTGTGTGGGGAGAGGAGGGACGCCCACCTGGCTCCACAGAGACACCCCGGGTCTGGCTGCTGTTGACTGGGCCCGAGTGGGGCAGAGGGGCTGTGTCCCCGCTCCTGCCCTTCCATCTGCCCCCTGGGTGTCCGGTGGAAGAGGAACCTCAGCTCCATCACAAAAGACCAGATGTTGAGGTCTCCAGCTCGGGCCTCCGTTTTGAGGGACTGTCTTTGCGACTCTGCGTCACTACTCTTCCAAGAAGTCAGTCAGATAAGATGCACAGGTCGAAATGGCAATGGGGTGTATGCCCATGTGTGGCTACAAGTACGTGACATAAACTTGCTGCCCACCTTCCTCTACTGAGGCATCCAAAGGGTCCTCACGGTTGCCTTCCCAGAAACCCTCATAGCCCATTGCAGACTATTTGAGGACGAGATTGGTGAGTAAATGCTCTTCAAAGGCCATCGAAAGGAGCTTCACAATTAGACATGAGTCCCCTGTCTTTAGTGGTCGCGGAACCAGCTGAGTTTAATGGCTTCCCTACTCGTACCTAGATCCCCTGAGTAAAAATATCATAAAGTGATTTTGAAGCTGCTTCCGAATCCTGGTTCCAGGCAGGTGAAGTAAGTCACCAAGTTTTAGATCCCCTCTGAGTGCACTGCCTGTTCCTTGTTGGCCGACTTTGATCTTGTTTCACACTCCACCCCGGAGCCTCTAACTGGAATCCAGCAATGTCCCTCCCACTGTCCGTTTCCCTCCATTTACATGGTCTGTGAGCACCGTGTGTGACCCGGACCAACGACATTTGAAAACAGGATGTGTCACCTTTACCCCTAGGAAGGAGAGAGGGAGGCTATGTGGGCTGCGACTCTGGAAATACACATTCATGTGCCGGTCGCTTGGGTTGCTGTGGATGAAGCAGCCACATAAACCCATGGTCCACCTAGAGTGCCATTGTTATTAGCGTCTCTTGTAGCCAGTGACACGGCTTTTTAAAATGTGTTTGAAACTCATTAGGTAAAAATGTTTTAGAACTCTTGCTATAATTAGATAGTAAAAAGCTGTGGGGATGTAATTGCAATGCTGGGTAATAAACTGGCTCAAGAGGAGTCGGCCCAAGCCCATGGGGCCCTGCAGGTGGCTCCTCCCACAGGACCCTGGGGCGGGCGGCTCCTTCCAGGGAGGAAGACTGAGCTCACACCCTGAAAGGGGAGTTTAAGTCAGGAGCAGAGTTCTGTGGAGTCTGAAAATCTGACATGAACCCAAAGAGAACTCTCTAGAAAGAGATACGGAGCCGACTGCACGGAGGCAGGCTAAGCGAGGGGGAGACTCGATAAGTCTGGGGGCTCTCACAACAGGTGGGTCAGGCCACACAGGCTCCATGGGATGGCTGCAGGAAGGCCTGGTGGGCTCTGCCGTCTTGGCCTCTCCCCCTGCCTGTCTGGCTGCTTGCTGTCTCCCCCACACCTTGGTTTGCCCAAGGCCCATTTTGGTGGCCAGGTCAGCACGATCATAGGAGTCCACTAGCTAAAATGATGGCTTTCTTATGTTTCCAATTCAAGACAGACAGACAGACACTGACCTCGCTTGGCTATGAAGACCCCCCTCAGTCCAGTCAATAGCACCGGCCATGCAGCCATGTGACATTTCCCTCTCAAAGTGATCACTTAGATCTTCTTCTTCTTCTGGGGCCATTTCTAGAAAAGTGGGCTGTGGGCAGGGAAGAAAATGACCCCAACCAGGTACAGATGACTAGGTGGAGCACCCAGCCAGAGGGGCAGCAGGAGAGCTCTGCCAAAGGGGGCAGAAGGGCGGGCACCCTGTGACCGTCAGACGCTAATGTGAGCTGAGTGCACGACCCGAGGGAGGCAGGAGGGGCCATTGTCACAGGGACAGCTCTCCCCAGTGGCCTTATTTAAGCCTTGCTCTCCTCCTGCCAGGATGGATGTGCAGTCCCCAGAAACAGCTAGCATCGGGTGGCAGTGAGGGCCGCACTCTGGGGTTGACACAGCCGATGGCTTCACAGCAGGACCGTTCAGGGAAACGATGGCAAACTCAGCGTGGGGCGTCTGGGAAGTTCACGAGCCCTGAGACAGAGCACGAGAGAGAAGAGTGGGAGGTGCCAGGTCTGTGACAAGGGGTGGTCTCCACTTTGTGTCCTTCCTGTTGCAAGGCTCAGCACCTTCAGGGAAGTTGGTCTTCAGAGTTGGGGTTGAATTAATGGAAGTGAGAGAAAGGAGGGGAGGGGCAGGGCCAATGGAGGGAAAGAGGGCACAACCAGGAACAGGAGAGAAGCAGGAGGAAGGACAGCCATCATGTGGCGGACGAGGCACAAGCTCCACCTCATTCATTCATCCAGGGTTATTTTTTGAGAACTTACTGGGCGCCCGCCACTGGGTAGGTGCTGGGATGTAGCATCAGAGAGCAGAAGCGCAGGTCCTGCTGTCATGGAACTTGCCTGTTACTGGGAGAAGAAGACTCCCAAAGAGTCCCCTGTCCTTCGGAACCACTGAGATCTGATGGTGACATGAAGGAACAAATGAGGCGCTAAGGAGAGGCCGCTGGGCTGGAAGGGGGAGGGCCCCCTAGATTGCATAATAAGAAACATCTTCTTGGAAGAAGGTGCATTCTAGAAGAAAAGAGGAGACTGGGAGAGCTGAGTTCCAGGAAAGGGCTTCACAAAAATGAACGCTGGGACAGTGCAGCCAGCAGCCTGGCCTGTTGGCACGGTGGCTCTCAGTGACCATGTTGCCATGAGGTAGAAGGGGTCGGGTGTGAACAGAAAGGAACCGGAATGTGAGGAGCAGCCGACCCACAGGGCTTTGCCCTGGCTGAGCCCTGGAGGCCAGTGTGGGCCTGGGAGCCCAGGGTCTCACGCGCACAGAAGTTCACGAGCTTCTTCACATAAAACTGAGAGAGAGATACAAAGACCAAGGGCTCCAGATAGGTTGGCTTTGAAAGGACTTTTGGTATGTGACAGAGGTTGGAGCTTTTGGGGGTCTGGGATTTTAAAGTCATGCGTGGTGTTATTCCTTCAGCAGTGAGTAAGTCCACCTGAGCTGTCTGTTTTAAACATCAGACTTTGACAGCCCTGAGAACCAGGCCTACAATAGACCCATTTCAGAGCAGGTTATTGATCATGTGCTAAGTAACTACCCTAGTGCGCTCCGGGGTTGGCTAGCTGATCTGCAGGGGGTTCCACCCTCAGCCCTCTCCATGACACTGCCTTAGCCCCCTCTGTCTTTCCGTCCCCGACAAAATGGGGATCTCACAGTGTAAACCCTGCAAGGTGGAGCTGTAAATAAAGGACACATCTGTCACCCTTAACTGCCACAATGGATTTCCCTCTGTTTCTAGTGACTTGAGAGGAATTTCTCTTCTGCCACTGCATGCAGTCCTCGTGCCCTGCCCTCCCTGTGGCTCCTGCTAAACCAGTCGGGCCGTCTCCTGTGAGCTTAACTCTGGAGCCCAAGAGCAAAACAGTAGCCAAGGCTGGTTCACCTGCACTGCTCAGTCCCCAGCCCAGATGGCCGGAGCTGCCCTCCTTCCTGCCTGCATCAGCGCCACCTCCACAGGATGAGCTTCTTCCTCTCCTCTCGAAAGAACAAACTCATTCTCTTTTGCTTCACAAACTAGAATGGAAGTTAATTACTTGCATCCTTACATAGGTTTCTATGTTTTGAATATTTTAGGCCAGAGCAAAATTACTTTTTTCAAAGTGATTTTTATTGGTACGTTATAATCATACATCTTAGGGGGTGCATGACGTCACATTTGTACCTTCAGGTAACATGATTTCATCAATGTCATGCCCTGCTTGCTCTAGTCTACTGATCCTATTTTTATTGGTATTTAATTAGCATTATAATTTTATTTATATATATTCATATATGAATTATAATTATATATAAAGGCTGCATTCATTGTGGTTCATTTGTACATAGATATAGCATAATTTGGTAGATTTTGCCCCAACTATGTAACAGGAAGGGTTATATGCAAAGCATGAAGTGGCCCCTGTTGCACGTCCTTCCCAGACCTTCCCCTCTCCCCTCCTCTCCGTCCCTTCTTGGGCTCTATCTGTCTCCCTTCTGTTTCCCTGAGATGTCTTTCTTTATCCTTTCTCTCTGCCCGCCTCTATAGCTTCCATGTCTGTGGCAAAACGTTCATCAACCCTTGACTTCCTGGGTCTGGCTTATTTCCCTTCGCATGATGTTGTCCGGTTCCATTCATTTGCTGGCAAATGTCACAGTTTCATTCTTCTTTGTGGCCGAGTAAAACTCCGTTGGGTATCTATCCCACATTTTCCTCATCCATTCTTCTGTTGACGGACATCTGGGCTGGTTCCACTTGGCTGCTGGGAATGGCACAGGGCAATGTATTCCTGAGACAACTTTTTTCCTTTTGCCTGCTCCATTTGAAGAGCTCACCTTTACCCCAGGAAAACTAAGATCATTTGTCTTTTCTAAAACACAGTCTGAGCTGGGTGTGGTGGCACACACCTGTAGTCCCAGCTACCTGGGAGGCTAAGGGAGGAGGATTGCAAGTTTGAGGTGAGACTCAGCAACTTAGCGAAACCCTGTCTCAAAAGTAAAAGACCTGGAGATGCAGCTCAGTGGTAGCACACTTGCCTACCATCGGTGAGTCCCTGGGTTCAATGGCCAGTACTGCAAATATACACACACTCACTGATTTTCAAGCATTTTCCCTCCATCTTGTCCTCTGCGACTGTTCTTCCAAGTCTCTGTTGTTGGCTGTGAGAATTCCATCCTTACCTCACCTCCTGGGGATGAGCTCTCCCTCCAGGACTACTGAAAGCACCATTCATCTCGCTCCTACTGTGCACCATCTCCAAGAGCACAAAGCCCCAGGGGCAGGAGCAACCCCTTATCACGCACCAACCTGGTTCCCCGCAGCAGAGCACAGAACAAAGCCGGCGTGGACTGTGCGCTCAGTATGTTTTGCGTTGTTCTGGGAGATTCTGCAGGGTGTGAAGATGCGAATTGAATTCTGTCTGGAATCCCGTTTCCTATTTGAGATCCTACAGCCGAGATTCTTAGCTGGTCTTTATGAGATTTATAAATCCCTGAACTTGTAAGCAAATGTTCTTTATGAGCCTATATACGTTCCCAGTTGTATTTTTCCAAAGTCAGGGTGTACAGCTTTCATTGGATTCTCAGACAGATCTGCGACCTATAAAATGTTAAGAATGACTGGCCACCTGCGTGTCCAGGAGCAATTGAAATAGGTATTTATCACAGGTGGACTCTGTTCGAAAGTAGTCCTGGCTCGTTCAGTTGAAGTACTCTGGTTTCCCCTTCTAGTAACCTAACGCCCACCACCTCACCATGACGCTGACGGTGGTGACAGGTAGTGTCGCTGCTTGTGTTCTGCTTCTTAGTGCCAGCCCCTATTCCCAGCACGGGTCTAACACCCTCCACCTCCCATCAGGTGGTGTCTGTGCTTCTCCCCACTTTACAGAGGATGAAACTGAAGCACGGAAAGGCCATGTGGCGTGTTTGGATTGACTCCACCAGTGGTGGAGCCCTGTGTTCCAACCCTGCAGAGGTTGAGTGCAGAGCCGGTTCCCAGCCACTCTGCTGTCAGGTCACAGCCAACAGGGGGGATTCAGGCCTCAACTGAGGCCAAGTGTCTCAATAACACCAAGGTTAGAGAGCCAGCAGGGGGTAGAAGCCAATTTGAACCAACATCTGTCCGACTCCCAAGCCGTGGCCATTTCTACTTCCTGCCACGTAGCGCCCCTTACTGGGTCCAGGCCTCTTCAGAGGCCACTGTGGGAGAAAGGTGTCCTTGTGCACGAGGTCCTAAGGCGCTTGCCAGAAGCGAAAGCCTCACCAGTGCTAAGCTCCCAGAAGGCAGGGCTGGACTTGCCCAGGATCTGCTTTGTTCCCAGCACGCACAGCGGGCACTCAGCAGATGTTATTGATTCAGTCAATGGATTGATAAAAGCAGAGATGGGTTCTAGACCGATCCGTGAAGCTGGGAACCTTAGCAGGTTCGATTCAAATGCCCACGCAGGTGTCCTGTGTGGCTGATGCAGACCATCGAGTCACGGAGGAAGTCGCTGGGCACCGCTGGGCTTCTCGTCCCTCCGGTCCTCACATCCAGCCTTGCAGTAAACGCAGAAAGACCCCACAGGGGACAGAGATGTGGGTTCAGATCTAGGGATTGTGACTTGAAGGTGGCCACCTCACTCGCGGACTGTGAACCTGCAGTGTGGGGGTAAGGGGGGGACAAGCGAGGGGGAATGGGGTGCTCCGGGAAGAGGAGAGCGGGTGCTATGTGCCATGAGGCGTTTGGGAGGGTCCTGATGCCTCTGGCCAGTCAAACACCAAGCTGCAGAAATATACATGGTCTGTATGAGGCAGGGGGGTGCTGGTCCTTGGTTCTCTGGTGTCCATACTGGAGCCTTCTGTAAGTAATCTGTTTTGGGGGGGTGGGTCCTGGGGATGGAACTCAGGGGCACTCCACCACTGAGCCACATCTCAGCCCTATTTTGTATTTTATTTAGAGACAGGGTCTCACTGAGTTGCTTAGGGCCTCGCTAAGTTGCTAAGGCTGACTTTGACCCTCCTGCCTCAGCCTCCCAAGCCACTGGGATCACAAGCGTGCACCACCGTGCCTCTTAAAGGTGGTCCTCTCCGTGAGGAGGGAGGCCATCGGCCCGGGAAGAAGCACGTCCACCAGGGTTGATTGGCTGTAGCCCTTCCTTGGGCTCACAGGGCCCTCCTCACCCTCAGTGATGCCTTTGCAGAGAGCTGTGATCTGATCCTACTGCTCGGGCCTCAGCCTGACAGGCCTCAGGCCCAGGAGCTGGCAGCTCAGGCTCAGGAACTTACTGCCATTCGCATAGTAACTGCAGTCAGCAAGGGGGAGTCTTCCGTGTCCAGTAGGATTAGAGGGGCAGTCTCAGTGTCGGCACTCCAGCTCTTGTGGGGGCTCTCGTGTTCACTGTAGGACATGACAGCATCCCTGTCCCCTATAGGATGCTTAGAGCACCCGAGCAGATGCCAGTAGAAGCCTCCCCGTACCTAATGGTGGCAAGACCCTGTTGGGGAAGAGTCTTCCAAAGGTGAACCAGCATGCTTCAGAGATGCACACTCACACGCGTGTGCACACACAGAGCACTGTGCACATGCTCGTCCTGGGGGAGGCTTTGGAGATGCACACTCACACACATGTGCACACACAGAGATGGTGCACATGCTCGTCCTGGGGAAGGGCTTCATCTAAAGAGGAATCCCGGCCTCCATCCAGAGTGGGTCTGTCCATTTCACAAAATCTTTCCTAGGAGTTGGTTCTAGGGCTGGGAATGGAGCTCAGGGGAAGAGCACCTGCTGAGTAAGCATGCGGCCCTGTTCTAACCCCAGCACCACCCCCAGAAATGAGTTGATCAAGCTGCCAACAGTACTGAGTACTGCTGTGTGCTTGACCCTCTGCTAAACATTTTCCATGTATTTAAAAAAATTCAGTTGTCAAAATCAGAGGGATAAACTGCTGGGCACGGTGACTCATGCCTGTAATCCCAGGCATGGGATTACGGGAGGCTGAGACAGGAGAATCTCGAGTTGAAAGCCAGCCTCGGCAAAATCGAGGCACTAAGCAACTCAGTGAGACCCTGTCTCTAAATAAAATACAGAATAGGGCTGGGGAGGTGGCTCAGTGGTCAAGAGCCCCTGAGTTCAATCCCTGGTACAGAGAAAAGAAAAAAAATCAGAGGGAAGCCCTGCTATTTCCACTCTGCAGATGCGGAGTTCAAGGACATGGGTGACTGGGACTTGGGCCAGGCTGTCTGGTGCCCTGACTTGACTTCCTTTGTTTTGGATGAAACTCTTATCGTCGTTAGTGGGTGTGACTTCAGTTCATCATCTCAGGATGTTGTCAGGTTTGCTGAAATTTGGTCTGAGTCGCAGTCGCCCTCGTGCCTGTTGAAATGGCGCCGGCTGACCGGCGGGCCTGAGCCTGTGGCTTGCCCCTGTCTCCGCAGAGCGCCTCTACCTGTTCCCCTGCCAGTGGAACTACCGGCCGGATCACTGCATGTACGGGAGCAACTGCCGAGAGGCTGAGCGCGAGGGCGTGTCGGTCCTGCACGGCAACCGGGGCGTCTACCACGACGACAAGCAGCCCACCTTCAAGGCGCTCTACGAGGCCATGCGGGACGTAAGTGGCACTGCTGAGCCCGCGTGCGCACGCCGCCTGGGGCGCCTTGGTCGCCAGGCCCTTCGCAGTGCAGATATTCCCAGAGCCTGGGGTTTCACCAGTTCCCCCCGCCCCCCAGCCACCACATCACCAAATCCCCTTGTCCCCAGGACCATAACTGCGTCTGCTCCTGACTTGATATTTCCACCTAAGTCTCTCATCCTTTCTGACTTAAATTCACTTTGGGAGGAAGTCTCATATCAAAAGAGAACTCCTGTGCCCTTTGCCCTGGGAGGGGTCCCAGGATAGGGTAGAGACGACCCAGGAGAAATAAGATGGCACTACCCGGTTCCAGTCCAGTGTTTCCTGTCTGCCAGCTCTAAGCCCTGGAGCAGTCGGGAGCCCAGGGGGACGGTTAGGACAAAGAGCTGAAGGGAGGTGGCAGCAGGCCCGTGTTCACCCACCTGCAACAGTGCGAGAGGGGCTTGTCGTTTCCCACCAAAGGGCCCAGGGCCAGGGTCGGGGGGTGCCACAGAGGTGGCAGGAGCCTTCCCACTGCCAGGGAGCCCCAGACAGAGGCTTTTACACCTCGTGGACCCACCAGCCAGGGATGGAGGGAGGAAAGGAGAAGCAGGTCAGAGTGGAAAGGCACGGAGCCAACGTGGAGAGAAGTGGCAGAGCCACCGCCCCTGGTAAGGTGGCCTCCATGGTTTGAGTGTTTGCATGGATGGCCCAGGGCGGAGGCCTGACCACTGCAGAGCCAAAGGGGTGGCTCACGCCTGTGATCCCTGCTACTCAGGAGGCTGAGGAAGGAGGACCACAAGTTGGAGGCCAGCCTAGGCAACTTAGCAAGATCATTAGCAAGATCCTGTTTCAAAGTAAAAGTGGTACAATCCTCAGTACCTTAAAAAAAAAAAAAAAAAATTCACCTGTGCTGCTGTGGCACCAAAGCAGCCAGAGAGTGAACAGGTGAATGGCTGTCCCCACATCCCGATGAGATCATTCAGTAGTGCTGAAATTTGAACTTCATATGGTTTCCTCCTGAATCACCAGGCTCAGGCCTGAGCCACCCGGCTGGCACAGAGATGACCACTTGTGAGAGAGACTGCGAGTTCACAAAGTCTATAGTCTCTCTAGTCCCCCTTCCCGAAGCCTGCCCACCCTAACAGGCCTCTTAGAGACTTCTTAAAGGCCCAGGATTTCACAAACAGGCTTGGCAGGAGTGCGGCAGGACATGGCGACACACCGTGTGTCTGTGACAGGGCATTTTAGCTGACACCACCGGAGAACTCCAAGGGGAGCCCCAGGCCTGGCCCCTCGTGCAGCCAGAGCTTGGCACACACCTGGGCCACACCTGGGCCACTGCCCACCTGCATTCCCCAGGCCTGGCTTCCAAGGGCCAGGCGACTCAGCTACATCCAACCTCTGTTCTAACTCAGGGGTGTTTTCACGTGTAGTTATTCAAACACTGAGTCCAGGGGCCGGGCGCAGTGGCCTTGCTAAGCAGGCAGCTAGCAGCCAGGGCCTCTCGGCTTTCTCTTGCCCATCAGCCCTGGCCTGGGCCAGGAAGTTGTGCTCCTTGGGTTACAGCTCATCTCGTCTGTTTTCTCAGGGGTCAGAAAGAGGCCAGAGAATCTAGTTTCATAAATAATTCCACCAACTCACTCTGTGACGCTCCTCAGTTGGGACTAAGAACAATTTTCACTCAGGCCTTTGAATCCAGAAAACCCCAAATGGCAGTGTGAGTGCCCCCGGCCAGACTCTATCCTAACGGTGTCCTCCCTCCCCACCGGCCATGGTGCTGTGCCTGTGGTCGGGGTCAGAGCCTGGCCGTGGGCCTGGAAACATAGGCTCAAGTTCCTATTCTGTCACTTTCCAGTGGCTAATCCTTAACTGTGCTTTCAGCCTCCGACCTCTGAATCCTTGTCTGTGCAGTGGAGATCATTATGCTGATTAGCCACCTCAGGAGAAGGTCGTGAGAACCCAGCAAGATGACAGTTTTCAGCTTTTAGGACACCACCTGACAACGGTCAGCAATAGGGCAGACTCTTCCACTAGCAGGGACCTCAGCCAATCCTGGGACTTGGTCAGATGGAGACCTCGGTGATGGGAACCCAGAGGAGGTCCTGCTAAGCAGAAGGACCGGAGCTGAGTCCCCAGGCAGGAAGGAATTCCATGTGCCCAAAGGACTGGGAGGAGGCCACCATGTCCAGAATGAGAAGGGTCCCAGGTCACCTCGGGCCTCTAAGACCAGGGAGGAGTTGGACTCCTCGTTGCAATGGGAAGCCCTGCCAGAAGGTGGGGGACTCTGATTTATGTTTGGAAACACCCCTGAGGCAGCCTGGTGGAGGGGCGCGGGAGCGGAAGACAAAGGCGCTCTGTACCTGGGCTGCACCACTCAGGGAGGGTCCGCAGCAGGGGCTCGCGGGAGGGATGCAGAGGGAGGGCCTTGCTCTGGCTGTCAAGCTGGTGCTTCAGGACTTGCTGAGGGGTGGGCCGAGGGGCGCGGGGAAGAGGAGTCCAGGAGGACTCCAGGTCCTCCTGCTGTTCTGCTGGTTGGGGACACGGTGATGGACAGGGGCAGAGTCATGCCCACCTCAAGGGTGCAGCAGTGGCATAGATAATGCTATTGAAGAACAGAGTGTCCCAGCCCTGACCTGGGCCCATGCACTCCTGTACTGTGTCAGTCATCACCTCCCTCCGGGAAGGAATTGCATTCTGATAAACATGCTTGAGCAACATTTCTGATGAACTTGAAGGGCACTGAGACTTGTTCTGGGAAACCGAAGCCCACACACGATGCTGTCGGGCAAGAGTGTCCCGCCCTTTAACCGTTCTTTTCTTCCATCTCTCCTCTCAAGAACATGAAATGTTCTTGCTAAGAATGAAGCTTTGTCTGGGTCTGCTAGTGACCTTTTCCCTTTCAACAAGAGTGGGGTGAATTTTGACATTTGCCCGTGACTAAGTAGTCTGTACGATTTCTTTTGGAAAATACTGCTCATGGACACATCCCATAGGAAAACAGGAGCATTCAAATCCAGGACAAAAAACAAACCCTCAGATGTGAAATACGAATTATTACAGTAAAGTGGATGGCCGTGAATTACACCGGTCCTTGCTGGACTCTGGACTTTCTGAGGTCATCCTACACATACCTTGAAGCTGGTTAAGATTGTTTCAAAGGCAAAAAATAAGAATTCAGTAGATAAGGCACAGTGGATTTCGAGCACCTACTTGAGTTCTGCCCCTCCTCAGCGTGAACACACTGTGTGTAAAGGGTTCTGTCCTAAGACACAGGCGTTGTCTTCAGATTCTAGGAGCTTTAAGGACCCAGTAAATCATATATGTATATTTTTAAGAGATGGAGACATGCAGTCCACAGGTTCAATGGTTGCTTGGGGTTGCACAGTAGACCAGATTTGAATTTAGGTCCTGCAGTTCCTTTCACTAAGACTATGAGTACACAAACCTGGACCCTGGCGCTGACAGTCAGTCCCTGGGTCGGTTTTAGTCAGCATGATTTGTATTTTAAATGGCATTTTGGTGACTAAAATAGACTTCTTTGTTTTATCATCTTTCAGTTTCCCTTTCAAGACAACCTCTTTCAGTCCATGTACTACCCTCTCCAGCTCAAGTTCCTGGAGACGGTGCACACTCTCTGTGGACGGATCCCACAAGTTTTCCTGAAGCAAATCGAGAAAACCATGCGGAGAGCTTATGAGAAGCACGTCATCATCCACGTGGGCCCTGACCACACGCACTGACCGTCTCCTCGAGTTCCGGGCCCTCAGGCTTCTGTGGCCAAGGAAGTGCCCAGATCTTTTCTGTGTGAATATTTTTAATGGTGCTTCATGACTGTTGAGTATTAAAAGGCTTATTACATTTTGCTAAATTAGTTGCCCCCAAAAGGGAACATGCCTTTAATTTTTTCTAAAATCCTATTTATCTCTTTAAAAACAAAAACAAAAACCCTACTACTATGCAGGTAACAGTGCTCCAGCAGGTCCGGCTGGCTGTGGAAAGGAACTTTCCAGAACCTTTCAATTCTCGGCTAGTGTGTGAGGCCATTTCAGTGGCATCTGATGATCCCGAGCCTCCTTCTATGCAATTGGCACCCTCACCCTTGTTATAAAAGTCATCCGTAGTTAGGAGGCAAACAAACAGACTTTAGAGTATAGGTCAAGGGTCCAAAATCAACATTAGGTTAGTCGTCCCACCAACCAGTGGAAAAGATGGTCACCATTTTAATGTACCTCCTTCCAGCCCTCCCACCACCCTACTTTTTTTAAACCTTTTTTTCTTATTTTCTACGTCTGATTTTCCATTATAACTCATATTTACAACAGGTAATCTCAGTAACAGTGGCCCCTATGCTGAGATTTTTATGTAGGAGGCTAAAAAGTCAGACAAGATGATCATGTTTACAGCACTTTACTCGAATGTATCTGGAAGAAGCATTCGGATCTCAACTGACTGGGCAATGTTCAAGGATGAGGCATATATCTGAGGGTGTTTCTCAAGAAAATTGCTTACATTTGTGGAGGACTAAATCATGAGAAATGTCTATGCAACAGTAATTTCTGGAAGGAAATTCAGTAATTGCACGGACCCAGGAATCTCTTTAGCAAAGTGATGTGACTTTGTGTTTACTCAGAGACAAACGAATTGGGTGTCTTCAGCCATCAGTAGGCGTGGGCACCTCTCTCCTGCTCTTGGGCAGTGGTGGAAATCAATACCAACTTCAGATTTTAATGGGATCAAAGCCAACAGTTCTAATTCCATTGGCCAAAAAATTACCTCACTACCAGCCTCAGAAAGTCTGATTTTTTTTTCCTCTTTTCCTCTGGGGTTACCCAGCTGTTCACCAAGAAACCCGGCAGGTCTTAGGACCAAGCTACGATACTGGAAATTCTATATTCTCTTCCCTACAGGAAACTGACTTTCCCCCTGTTGCTCCTATGTTGGTATTGACAGTGGGACATTTCGCATATTTCTTTATCACAAATGGCTTTTGCATAAATGACATCTTTAAAGTTTCCCACAGCCTAATGAACTTGGTGGGGACCTACATCATCTCCATTAGGTAAATAAGGAAATTATGATACAAAGAAATGAATGTACCAAATAAAATTGCTTTTCTATAAGTCACACAGGTCTGCGTAAGATGCATCCAATTTTACAGAAACATTTTTTGGAAATAAAAATATGGAGCCCCTTGCTTCATAGACAGCAATCCACAAGAGAAAAATGGAAAGCATGATTTTTATTAATGTCAGTATGGCGTCCTGTGTATCAGAATCCTAGGACATCACATCAGCAGAGTGTCTTCCCCTGAAAGAGATGAAAACCTCAGCATTCAAAGACATGAGCAGATTCCGGTCACTGCTGGTGTGTGTGCCGCAACTGTGGTTGTCACAAGCTTAAGTCTGCAAGAGCAGGCAGTCACCCCGGCTCTCCTGGTGTCCAGTTGGATGGTCTGGTTTGTTCCCTGTTAAGGAAACTGCCACTGTGATGTGGAACTCTTATTTTGCTCTTTTGTCCCCTCATGCACCACCAGAAGTGACCAGAAGTGACATTTTTTTCATCCATTTTTTCATATCTCAGTGTTGGGCCTTCCGTCTGTGTCCTGGGCACCTCTCATACGTGGCCATCTTGGACTTGTCTTTGGATGAAGGAAAATGCACCTTACGTTCCCAGCTCTGCAGTGAAAGAGGCAGGATGTGAACACGAATCCGGACTCTCCATTCCCATTTCCTTTCTGCGTGTTCAGATTGGCCAGTAAACCCACAGGTGCTGCTCTGGATTTGTTGGTGGCTCCCAGACCTAAAGAAGTTCTCTCCCTCCTTTGGTGGTTCCAGAGACTTGCAGTCTGCGGTAGGACTTTGAGCAGAGCGACATCCCTACTTTTATGAGAGCCAGGTGCGCTCACAACTCTCTGCTGTTGCTGCCCACTGAATACACAAGTAAGTACAGTGGCCAGCAGAGGTCAATGACAGAGCTCTAGAACATTCCAGAGTGATGAATGATGAACCTGCGACACCTTAGAACCTGGTGCATTTGTCTGCTGTGAGATTCCCGCCCCATCTCCTGAAATTTTAGGTGAGTTTGGTGGAAATTTTGGGGGGAAATTTGCTCTTCCAGGTCCTTTTACCTAAAAGTGCTGACTGTTTTCTACAGCTAGGATATTACCATGAGGCGGGGTTTTCTCTGACTTTGGTAACTCCCAGGAAGTACCTTGGAAAGAAAATATCTTTCAATATGAGAGCCACAAATTTTAAGCCAGTGGACGTCTAAAACGTGCAATCTGCCGTCTGTTACAGCCCTGAAAGCCACGCGAATCCACAGGCGGCTCTCTCCTCTCTTCCTGCCTGTCCTTTCCCTTCCTGGCCCCTCCTCTCCTGCCCTCCCTCTTTTCTCACTTCTTGTATCTTCTGAGGTGTTGGGAATGGAACCCAGGCACCTGTCACTGAGCCACACTCCCAGCCCTTTTTCATTTATTTATTTATTTTTTGAGAAAGGGTCTCAGTAAATTCCTGAGGGCCTCAGTAAATTGCCGAGGCTGGCTTTGAACTTGAGATCCCCCTGCTTCCGCTTCTCAGCCCCCTGGGATTATAACCATATGCCACCATGCCCCAGAAAAAAATCTAGATTCATATCTAAATATTGCCTGATGTTTATATATAAAAGATAAATGGCGTGTGTTTGATAAACCAAAGTGAAAATGATTTTAAGAAATCAGAAATGTGTTGCATTAAGAAATACATTGGGCTTCATGGGAGTCCACACCCTCAGATTTTCATTTAATAAAAGGGTAGGTAGTCTCTTGTAGGGTGTCCTGTTCCCCTCCTGTTTCTTTCTTATTCCTCTCCCAATCTTTGCTTTTCCCTTTTTGTTTATCATGGAAGCATCTGAGTAGCACAAGAAGCCAGCCTTCAGCAGCTGAGCCAGACTGGGGGTCCCTGTGCAGGCAGAACGAAGTCACTCCTTAGACCCCACGGAAGAAATCAGCGCAGCACCCACCCACCCTGCGGCTTCGCAAGGAGGAGCCGCCATCTGTGTGGCATGAACTGAAGAACCGCCAACAGTCCGCTCCTGGGTCCAGTCATTTCACAGTTGCGTGGCTAGCACTGAAAGCTGACGGGGTCTCCCTGGCTCGGAGACAAGCTTTGTCCTGGCTCTTGTTTTTCACAGGTCAAAACTGGAAACGTTCTCTTGAGTGTTCAAGAGGATGCACACACAGGCAGTCACGGGTGGCACTTTCTGCTCCATTGGGTTCACAGGTTGTGTTGTCTGTGAAGAACTGTCCCATGGCTCAGAGCTCCCAAGGACACCCTGGATGCATTTCTTATGTTGGAAATGAATTTTTAAAATAATTTTTGTTTTTGAAGAAATGAGCATACTCCAAAGAAAAGGAATTATTACAGCTAATAAAAAGGAATATGAATATTATGATTTTATTACTGTCTTATCATTTTAAATGCCATCTCCTGTTTTATCTCTGTTAAAAATTAAAAGCTTTTAAATACGTGGCTTTTGGTATTATTTTGGAACTGTGTGTTTTTTTCCTTTAAAATATTTCAAGCTGAAAATTTTATAAGTTAAATAGTAATGTTTAGGTCTAGCCTGCTAGTAAAGAAGTATTTAGCAAGTGGCTGAGTCAATTTTTCTGTTTGTTTGTGTAAAACTGAGTTTATCAACTGGGCATGGTGGTGCATACCTATAATCCCAGTGGCTCAGGAGGCTGAGGCAGGAGGACCACGAGTTCAAAGCCAGCCTCAGCAAAAGTGAGGTGCTAAGCACCTCAGTGAGACCCTGCCTCTAAATAAAACACAAAACAGGGCTGGGGATGTGGCTCAGTGGTCGAGTGCCCCTGAGTTCATTCCCGGCACAAAAAACAACCACAACAAAAAACCAACTGAGTGTATCAATTGTCATTCCCAGTAGAGACCAGGGTTCCTTAATGGGACAGCTCTTACCGATCTTGTTCTCAGCTCTATGCTTCATACATTTCTCATGACCCCCCCCCCAAATATGGACAAATAAATGAAATGATTCAGCTTCATCCTGAACTGGGACCAATTCCTCTCAGATAAGCTTCCCAGCACATCATATTGATCTTGAACATCAAAAACTACTGTTCCTGTAATGGTATGTTGCTGTAATGGCGATAGTAACCCATCCTACAAAATCTTTCATTGAAATTATATTGAAGCCCAGCACAATGTCGTATGCCTGTAATCCCAGCTCCTCAGGAGGCTGAAGTAGAAGGATCTCGAGTCGGAACTCAGCTTGGGCAATATAGCAAAATTATATAATATATACATAAAAGGAATTAAGCAATTATGTGTGTGTGTGTGTGTGTGTGTGTGTGTATATATATATATATATATATATATATAGAGAGAGAGAGAGAGAGAGAGAGGGAGGTGCTTAATTTCTTGGAGACTCATTTACTTACCCATTAAATAGCATGGTTGGGTCAGATCATGTTAAAGTCCCTTTCTTCATAAAGATCTCCTATTTCCACAATGTTCTCTTTGTGGCTCTGTGGTAGACATTTGTGGGATTTGGGCTGCTGGAAACCACCCTACTCCTGGTTCCAATTTATGTAATAGTTGAAACTCTTTAAATTGTAAGTGGCAGCAAACACAACTTAATCAGTACAGACGGGGGTGGGGGGAGAGAGAGAGAGAGAGAGGAAGAATGTATTGGCTCACATAAGCGAAAAGTCCCCAAATAGCTCTGGACCCAGAGGCTCCAATGATGCTAAGGGATATGTATCATTTTAACAATGCTTTTTTCATGAATATTTTATTGAAAACCACACGTCCTTCTAGGATTCCAGCCATGAAATTTTCATGTCATTTGAATAGAATCATTCCATCTTTGGAGAAATACATTGTCTCCAGGTCCAGATGAAAAATGGTACTGCCAACCTGGGTCTCCAGGAAAACTGTCCTCCTGGTGTTTGTTTTGAAACAACTGTCACATATCTTTTCCCTCTCATTGAGAACCACCACTAACCAAATAGAGCCTCACCAGAAATAATTCTGCAATCTAATATAAATGGATGATGGGAGGCATTGCCATAATCTTGATGTGTTGGACAAAAGCACTTTACCAGTTCTTCAAATCCAGAGTCAAATCGTGAGGGTAAATGTGTATTGCAGCCTCGTAAAGAGTGTAAGTCTCATGTGTGACCTGTGGGCTCAGATTATAAAGAAACTCTAGGAATGCTTGTGCCTGTGTCCTTGCTGAACACTTAGGGTTTATGAAAACAATAGTGTTTCTTATTTTGCAGGATTGCTATTTTGAGTCAAGTGGCAAAGCAAGTATAAATGTCATATTAGAAAACTGGATTCTTCTTCATCTGAATTACTGTTATTATTAGTGATTGCAAGTGCCCAGAGTTAAAGGGAAAATAAAAAGACTGATGCTAGATATATTAAATGTTTAAAACTGACAGCTATTTATGAGAGTTTCCCTGATGCGATTTTACGTTTGCATGTTTATGGGAACATAGGAGACAGTTAATAAGACCAAGAAGACATGTTAAAATGAGAGAAAATGTAGACAATCTCAAGAATTAATTAAGAAAGTGGTTGGTGTGTAGTATGTTTGAATTTAAGCTTCTTAAGTTTAAGCTTCTTGTCATCTGTCTCTTTAGACCCCATGGTTTCTGGCGGGTAGTGGGTGACCAGCGTAGCATGTCCTGCCTTAATCCCCCAACACACATTATTGTCCTGCGTGCCAGCTCAAATCCTGATTCCAGCCCCTGACTGCCCAAAGGCTCTCTTCTGACCCTACAGCGCCCGGCTTGCCTACAGGCAGGCCGAAAATGTTGGAAAATCAACCCTCCTGAGATGGCCCGAAACCACTGACCAGCAGGAGCAGGTGGACAAATACCCCAGCTTCCTCTCCTTGTTGGGTGGGAGCTCTTAGCTGTCAATCCCAGAATCCCCCAGTGGGAGAAGCTCAAAATGCTCACACTGGTAACTTCCTTAATAATATATTCTTTTTTTTTTTTTTTTGGTACCACGGATTGAACTCGGGCACTCGATCACTGACCACTTCCCCAACCCCGTTTTGCATTTTACTTAGAGACAGGGTCTCACTGAGTTGCTTAGGGCTTCGCCATTGCTGAGGCTGGTCTGAACTCTCAGCCTCCCCAGCCACTGGGATCACAGGCATGTGCCACTGCGCCTGGCGATAATGTATTCTTTATTGGTTCCCTCACCTGCCCTCTCACCTCCACACTCTTCCACCATTTCCTCAGATTTGGCTCTGAAGATTTGAGCTGGTGCTCAAACCTTTGTCTCATCATCTGCGGTTGGTAAAATCTTTATGTGAGTAAAAAATTGAATTTAAGAAATATCTCTCTTATTTAATACTCATAAGAATAATTCCCTTCCCGCGTCCTCCTCTACCTCCGGTTCCTCCGCCTGCTCCAACTTCTCTTTCCCCTGGTGTCTCCTTTTTATTCTTGTAAATCTCTGTTTTCATTTAGAGAGTTTGAATTAACTCCCTGCAAACGTTGTTTGGAATTTAGCATTCTTAT